TAATGTGGACCCCCACATCCCCTTCTTCGAGGTGGGACTTTACCTTTTTAAATTGTCACGGCCCTGGATGGCCTTCATAGGCCTCCCAGAAATCGAGCCACGCAGCCGAATTAGCCTCGTGCTTCCATTGGGGTCCATGACGAATCCCATCAATCACACTCTGGCAGTCGAGCACAAAATGACATTCACCAATAGTGCGTTGCAAAGCTACGGTGAGACCGACCAGCTCCGCTAGGGGAACCGTCTGGATCCGTCCTGGGAGAGTGCCGTACGCTCTGCCTACCACATGGCCTCCCTGGACAATGGCGCAACCCCATCCGCAACGACGGAGGCGCTTATCGTCAGTACAATCCCCCCCACTCCCGTCCGACCCGACCCGATCATCAGCGCCTAAGGGCACGCGCCCTCCTGCATCGAATGCTCCTTCAAAATTGGCCTGGCCCTCCGGCCACGAATCGACCAAGTCGTGGACCCATAAAACAGGAGTCAAACCGCGGAGCCAAAAACATGGGAACTCGGCATGTTTCTCACGGGCTTCCAGGGCAAGGGGGAGGTCCTCAGGAGAGAGAGAGGGGTTGCACGGGCAGCTCCACATCTGGTGAAAAAGATCCTCCTCCTCCTGCCCACACTGCCGGCAACGCCTCTCCTCAGACCCGACGGGGGCCTGGGGAGCGCGCCTCGTGGCGGGCCATAGGGCGCCTGTGGCCACCATCTCGAGGACGGCTGCCAAACTGGCCTCCCCCTTAGACCTCAACCTCGCGAGGTGGCGGCGGAGAGGAGTGAGGTCACACCCGAATTCTAAACCTGCCCCACAGAAATGCTGAGACGCATGCTGCTCCCACACCTTCTGCTCCAGCGCCCCCTCCACCTCCGCCAAAACGCACTGCCTCCATCCCTGGGGGCTGCCCCTAGCGGGCTCAAGGTAAAAGGGGGTGCGCTGGTCGGCGGAAAGCTCCGGGGCAAGAAAATACACCTGTCCTGCATCGTCGAGCCACTTGTACGGGCTCACAGGATCCCAGCCAAGTTGGAGTAGCATCGCCATCAAGGCCTCCATGGGGCCCTTCACTTTACACCATGGAGACTTAGCATTCGCTATGGCGCGCCGGCAGCATGCCCACGCATTGGAAAGACACGGCGTGGCCCAGCCTACTTGCGGCGCCACTTCCAACCAAGACTTGACCAAGTCGAGGCGGCCAAACACTAATGGATCATCTAGCTGGGTAAACCCTAAACGGAGCGCTACTGTGGCGCATCCTCCATGACGTTGCACGCCCCTCATGGAGGCTATCTGGCTTCTGATCTTCAGAAGGGTGGTGGGGGCAGCTCCCTGCCCTGCCAGGCCCCACGAGGCCTGGGGTTTAAAACCAGTGCGGGCCAAGCGTTTCGCCGTGCGGTTGGCTTTGATTAAACCCTTTATGCGACGAGCACGAGCAGAGGCTTTCTTAAGCCGACCCTGGACCGTGACGGTGCTACGCCTCTTACTCGAAAAATCGATTCCTAAGTCGCGAGAGGCAGTGACACATTTCAGGTTGATGCCACAACCTGCCTGGACATTGGCAGCAATCTGCTGAACGAGCTTGGGTTGGCTAGCTAACAAAACTGTCTTACCTGAAATCCTCAGTTCTTGTCCTTGCATGCGACGGAATACGTGGATCAGAGCTTCGGAGCACTGTCTGACTACATCCCGCGCATTCCCCAATACCTGCAAAGCTGTGTCATCCACCCAGGTCTGAACCTCCAAGGGACGAAGACCTCGGTGCGGTTCCTGCATCAGCCCTCGTGGAAGATAACGGGCATGTGTTTCGCGAAGCATATCGTGCAGATACGCTCGATTCCACGCTACACTCTGAACACAGCCTGCCAATATCGAGGTCGATATCTGGATAAAATCGGAAGCTGCACCTTGCACTGTAATGACACGGTCAGCCATATGCATTGACATCCCCAAGTACATAATAGCTAATGGGTAGCCTAAGGCACGGCCGTAATAGAAGATGAAGAAAGGCTTTAACGTGTCGTAGAACTTCTCGCAGTCTATCATGGCCTGTGCCCAGTCGAAGCCTGTGTACCGACATATTTCAACTTTGAGGGCCCGCAGGAGCCCGGCTCGCAACGCACTGGAATTACGCACAGCACAATCCCAAAAGCCCGCCTTCGCAGCCTCCCAAGATACCACAGGCTCTTTCCGAAGCCTCCCCCACACGCGATACAGGGTCTGCGTGCGAGCAATTGGCCTGTCCCCTCCTTGTGGAGGCGGCTTGGGGTGGAGACCAATCTCATTTACAAGCATGGGGGCTGGCCACGCTAGCTCCTCTTCGATGCCAATGATAATCTCCAGAATTTCTTCCAGCGCCCCTGGCGGGAGAGATTTCCAGAGTGAGGGGTGCCACTGGTCCACCCCCATGCCCAGCTGCTTCTTGAAGCTGCCACAGATAGTGGATGAAGAATCCAGGGTCAGCGGGGGGAGCTCACGTCTCTCAGCCTCCGCTGCTTCTCTGAACTCCTGCCACCACTGTTGCTCCATGGGGCGCTCCGGGGATGCCTGCCGGAAACCTTCCCAGCGCCCCTGCTTCCTCTGCACTGTCCCCTGCATCCCTCCTTCGAGCTGCCCATCCTCATCCTGCTCCTGCTGCGCTTCTGCCGGAGGATGCCCCCAGTGCGTTGTGTGCCAGTGCGCCCGGCGAGAACCACCCTGCAAGCTGTCGCGCAGCCACTTCATGAAACCTGCCTGCTGTTCCCGGAAGGCGGATTTATCAGCTTTATCCCGAATGCGCTTGGCCGCAATAAGGGCCTCCCTGCACCCTTTCTTCGCCATGGCAGAGAAAGGATCGTGCGTGAGCAGGCGCACAGCCTGCCGGATTAGCTGCAAATAACCTTCCTCCACCTGTTTCTCGTCCTCCTCCTCCTCCTCCTCCTCCTCCTCCTCCTCCTACTCATCCTCCTCCTCATCCTCCTCCTTCCTCCTCCTCCTCCCTCCTCCTCCTTCCTCCTTCCTCCTTCCTCTTCCTCCTCCCCCTCCTCCCTTCCTCCTCCTCCTCCTCTCCTCCTCCTCCTCCTCCTCCTCCTCCTCCTCCTCCTCCTCCTCCTCCTCCTCCTCCTCCTCCTGCTCCTACTCCCCTCCCCCTCCCCCTCCTTCTCCTCCTCCTCCTCCCTCCTCCTCCCTCCTCCCTCCTCCCCTCCTCCCCTCCTCCTCCTCCCTCTCCTCCTCCCTCCTCCCTCCTCCTCCTCCCCTCCTCCTCCTCCTCCCTCGCTCCTGCGCCCCGCCTCTCCTCGCCGCCTCTCCTCCCCGTCCTCCTCGCCCTCGCCCTCCCCGTCCTCCTCGCCCTCCTCGCCCTCCCCGTCTTCCTCCCCCCCCTCTCCTCCTCCTCCTCCTTCTCCTCCTCGCCCTCCTCGCCCTCCCCTCCTCGGGTCGCATACGGCCCGGGGGGAAACCGTCCACCAGGGCGGTTTTGGCCGTGCGCGGCCCCTGGGCGTCCTCGCCGGGCCCCAGGACCGGCAGAGAACGCCTCAGGTTGCAGAACTGGCCCCGGGGAACTTGGGGCCAGACCGGGTCCAGGTGATGAAGTACACCAGAGAAAAGCCCCAATCAGTGGATGGTTCGAGATGAGTAGTGAGATCGACCATGAGCCTGATAATGAATCGTGGGATCGATCAGGAGATCGACTGGGAGCCCGGGAACATGGAACCCACCGATCGGCCCGGAACCAATAACCGGGAACCCAGGAACCTGGAACTGGAAACCTGGGAACTCAGCCGGCCACCAAAATCGGCGGGAAATTTCCGCCTAATGTTTTAATTTCCCCTAGGACCCCTTCAGTGCAAGCACTGAGTGGGGAACAAGTCATGACGCTTGGGGTCTGGGCTGGCAGCTGTCTTTGTGTGTATTGTTTCGCCAAGCGGTGCGGGCCCCTGCCCCCCCCACTCGCCCTTCACAGTTTCGCCGATCGGCGCGGGCTTCCAGCCCCCCTCCCCCATAATGGAGGATGACGATGAATAAATGACCGGGGGTCGTGTTCACGCGGCGGCGCCTGGGATGACGATTAGAAAAAACCGACCGCGGGCTGGAAAACTATTTTTTCAATCATTTTCCTCCAGTCAGTAAATTGTGCAGAAATCGCAGAAAGCTATGTTTTGTTTAATCGTTCTCTCCCATTTTTTGTATTAATCGTCATCCCGCATTAGAAAAGGTCTTGGCTGCTTTTGGCGGCTGCTTTAGGCGACCCCTCAGACCCCCCCCCGTCTGGTGGCGCGACCAAGCACCGGCTTAGACCCAGCCTCGCTCTTCGGCTCCAGGTCGAAGTCCAGAGTGACAAATGCAAACCTGGCTGTATGCCCCCAAGACAATATCATATGAGAGCTTTCGAGTTCTGAGGACATGCCTGGCCGAGGTCTTTTTGTTGTTATCCATCACCTCCATGTTCGAAGAACGCAGTTGATCTTGGAACATTCACGTGCCCTGAGAACAGGTCGCGGTAGGCCTATAGGACGCCGGGATTGTCGGGTTCGACTACACGTCAGAGTGACCCTTCGCCGGAGTGACCTGTGGTGCAGGCCCCATGGGGTCCCCCGACCGTGGAGCGCGAAGCGGTGGCAGCGGCCTGCGCGCCCAGGTTTGGCCACCCCGCGCCCCCCCGTGAAGTCGCGCACCAATGGTGGTCACTCTTGCCCCGGGTGAAAGGTTTCTCCGAGGGGCTTAGGCGCCCCCCCCTCCTCCTCCTCCTCCTCCTCCTCCTCCTCCTCCTCCTCCTCCTCCTCCTCCTCCTCCTCCTCCTCCTCCTCCACAAGCGCAAGGGGGCCCTGGGCGCGCCGACCATTTTGGCTCCAACCGTGCCCATGGATTCCTGCCTCGGCGGCTCATCGCGCCGTGCTTGTGGCACCTGAGTGAGAACGTAAGCAATTCTACAGGGTGGCAAAGATCGAGGCAAATTTCTCCAATGGAAGCTACGGGACGCGCCCGCGAGGGGTGCAATACGGTGAAGGGGAGCACGACAGACCGGAAGATGCGCAGACAGCACGCAAGGATCTCAGCAGATAACCTCATTAGGCGCTTGTATACAGAGATTGCGACATTGAAGTGGAAGATAGACAGTTATGATGCTTGGTACTGGTCTTGGGCGAAGGCGAAGCACGAACCCAATGTCATCAGCTACAACGACGAGGAGTCTTGTACGGTGGCAGTGGCGGAGGCGAAGCACGAGCCCAACGCCATCAGCTACAACGGCGACGATCCTGCGAAGTCTTGTACGGCGGTGGTTGGGGACGCAAAGCACGAGCCCAATGTCATCAGCTGCAACGACGTGAAGTCTTGCACGGTGGCAACGGCGGAGGCGAAGCACGAGCCCAATGCCATCAGCTACAACGACGACGTCGATCCCGCGCAGTCTTGTACGGCGCTAGTGGCGGAGGCGAAGCACGATCCCAATGTCATCAGCTGCAACGACATGGAGTCTTGCACTTTGGCAGTGGTGGGGGCGACGCACGAGCCCAATGCCATCAGCTACAACGACGACGACTCCCCGCGAAGTCTTGTACGGCGCTTAGTGGCGAAGGCGAAGCACAAGCCCAGTGTCATCAGCTACAACGACATGGAGTCATGTACGTTGGCAAGGGCGGAGGCGAAGCACGAGCCCAACGCCATCAGCTACAGAGACGAGAGCGGGAGGAGTGCTGAGACGACCGAGCCTAACGTCGACAGCAGCAGACCCGAGAATGGAGCACAGGTGAAGATGGAGCCAGATGACTTCTACCCTAGCTACAGCTCAGGGACCAGCGCGTGTGAGAGAGGCGGGATGATTGAGCCATTTACGTCTCACACTAGTCGCTCTACCCCTAGTCTAGGCCCAGGGTGCAGTTCGTATGGCTACAGTGCCGCCATCGGGCCTCGCAGAGTGCAGCAGGTGAAGTTAGAGCCCAATATTGCTAGCTACCGTGATGCTATCTCTCAGGAGCTCAGAGAGATCAGTGGAACTCCAGGCGCCCCTTTTTTGCCCAGCGGTTCGGCGGTGATCGACTGGGGCGCCACCAAGAATACATATCAAGACTGCAAGCAAATGTGAGGAGACTGTGAGAACAATTTCGTGCCGCGCGTGATAAATTCCGTGCCACTCGTGATGGATGTCCTGAATTGCGCCTTCAAGTTCAGGGGATTTTTATAGAGAGATTGCACATTGACGTTGTCATATGATCATGCTCATGATCATGCTCCTCCTCCTCCTCCTCCTCCTCCTCCTCCTCTTCCTCCTCCTGCTGCTGCTGCTGTTGCTGCTGCTGCTCCTCCCCCTGCTCCATCTCCTCCTCCCCCTCCTCCACCTCCTCCTCCTCCTCCTCCTGCTCCTACTCCATCTCCCCCTCCCCCTCCCCCTCCCCCTCCCCTCCTCCTCCTCCTCCTCCTCTCCTCCTCCTCCTCCTCCTCCTCCTCCTCCTCCTCCTCCGACTCCTCCGACTCCTCCTCCTCCTCCTCCTCTTCTTTTCCTCCTCCTCCTCCTCCTTCTCCTCCTCCTCCCCCTCCCCTCCTCCTCCTCCTCCTCCTCCTCCTCCTCCTCCTCCTCCTCCTCCTCCTCCTCTCCTCCTCCTCCCTCCTCCTCCTCCTCCTCCTCCTCCTCCTCCTCCTCCTCCCCTCCTCCCCCTCCCCCCATCCTCCTCCTCCCTCCTCCTCCTCCTCCTCCTCCTCCTCCTCCTCCTCCTCCTCCTCCTCCTCCTCCTCCTCCTCCTCCTCCTCCCCTCCCCCCCTCTCCTCCTCCTCCTCCTCCTCCTCCTCCTCCTCCTCCTCCTCCTCCTCCTCCTCCTCCTCCTCCTCCTCCTCCTCCTCCTCCTCGGATCGACCACGGCCCCGGGGGAAACTGTGCAGCCCAGGGTCGCTCGCACGTGTAGCTGCGAGGTGGGCGGCCACGCCCATCACGACCGCGTCCTCGACGCTGTTCCGCGGGCCTGGCGGCGGCCTCGCGGGCGCGCCGCTGCAGTGGCGGCGCAACGAGCCCGAGGCCCGCCCAGAGGGCGTCCGTGCGCCACCGCCGTGCTCATCCCAAGGCCAGGCCTGGGCCCCCGCCGCGACGGTGTGTGTGTGTGTGTGTGTGTGTGAGTGTGTGTGTGAGTGTGTGTGTGCTTTTGGAGGGTTTCTCCGAAGGGCTCAGGCGACCCGTCCTCCTCCTCCTCCTCCTCCTCCTCCTCCTCCTCCTCCTCCTCCCCCTCCTCCACCTCCTCCTCCGCCTCCTCCACCTCCCCCTCCTCTTCTTCCTCCTCCTCCTCCTCCTCCTCGGGTCGCCTACGGCCCTGGGGAAACCGTGCGTGCGCGTGTGTGTGTGTGTGTGTGTGTGTGTGTGTGTGTGTGTGTGTGTGTGTGTGTGTGTGTGTGTGTGTGTGCCGCCCTGGCCGAGGCCAGCTTGAGAGGGGCGTTCCAGACTCAGGAGGGCCAGAAAACACACAGACACAACTCACGGTCGATTCCCAGAAAGATACGGGAAATAAGTGAAGTGGGTGGGGAGACGAAGCCCCAGAGAATATTGGTAATCTCGGGATATGTGTGCATGTATTTGTGTGTCCCTGGGCCCCTTTCACAGAAAGGGCTTCGCCTTCGAGGATTGACGGAGTTGCCACCTCTTCCTCGGCGGAAGGCCGCGGGAGGTCGGCGGAAGGCGGCGGAGAGGAAACGAGGGCGGCTCCGCCCTCGGAAGGCAGGCGACAGCCGATGGGAGTAAGAGATGCGTCCCTAAGAGATGGAAGCGCTTCTGGGTTCAGGGTGTCCCAGACTCCGCCATCGTTGGATCATCGTGTTTATTTAGAATGCCATGACATCATGTTCTACGGTATGTTTCATCGTATCATACCATACACGATTACCTCATAGTGTATTCTACCAATAAACTAAATTTGTAGGTGTAACATGTTTTAGTAGGTTTAAGTACAGTGTAGTATAGTATGTGATCTTGCTCCATGGCAGCTGGTAACACACTATACGATAGTGTACATTTAATGTTATGTTTCATAAGTTGTCATGGTATGTGGCATTGCGATAATGTGTAGTACCCCGTATAACTGTTCTGTTATGAGTTATGTTGTTATCTGTCAAATTATTGTAGTATACTATAGCAGAGCCCATTGCATTATACGATACAGTGGTGTAGTTTATTTTGTAGTGTATCATCACATCAGGTTATAGTATACTGCATCGTAGTATGCTATATTATACTGTGCCTCGCTGTTCTATCCAATGTTTTTTCATATGCGATTACACTGCACTGTATTGTATTGAATCGTAATGAGGTATCATATACGTGTACACATACGTTATCCCCAAGCAGTGCTTGCACGAAGGGGCTTTTAATTGCTAGTTATATGGGGCTGGGCCTGCGTGGCGATCTGGCGGCTCCGTGGTCGCTGGCGCCGCCCTGTCGCCGCCTCGTCGCAGCCCATTGTCTGAGCCTGCGTGGTGGTCTGGCCGCACCATGGTCGCCGTCGCCGCCCCGTCGCCGCCTAGATTGCATAACGCATATTGCACCACGTCGATTGCACCACATATATTCTACTACATAGATTGCACCAGGTCGAATGCTCCACATAGATTGCACCACATAGGTTGTGCAACATATATTGGACCACGCCGATTGCACCACGTCGATTGCACCACACGGATTGCGCACTACATACGTTGCGCACTGCATATTTTGCACCACGTAATGTCCACAATACAGATTGCACAACATACGTACATTGCGTCACATAGGTTACACCACACATGTTGCTCCACGGAGATTGCTCCATTTAGATTGTACACCGTATATGGCACAGCATGTACTGCACAATGCAGATTGCACGATGCATACTGCACCATATACATTGCTCCACATGTTTGGGGCCCACGCTGGCTTACACCCAGACACATATATGTATGTACATGCGTGCATATACTGATAATCATGCAGAATGCAGCACCTAAACGTACAGACCACATATGCACACATTAACAACCATGTATACGTACATATCGCACATACACATTTACCAACATGTACATCTATATACACATGTACATGGATACACATATCTATGTATAGCCACGCTAGGGCCCAGGCCTGGCCCTGGGCCAGCACGGCGGCGGTACGTGGAGGCCTTCTGCCCACCTAGGCGCAGCCGCGGCGGGACGAGGACGGGGCGCCGGGCGCAGAGGCGGCGTCTCCGCCGCGCTGGTCCGCACTGCGAGCGCGGTCGCCCCAGCCGCCGCGCGACGAGGCCGCAGTCAACAGCCCGGCGGCCGCCGGCCTCGGCGGCTCTGCGGGCCGCGGCCGCCCGCGCGCGGGCAGCTCGCCGCGCGAGGGCCCGCCGCGGTGGTCGGCGCTGGCGCTGCGTTCGCCGCCGCGCCCCGGCTCGGCGGCGGGCGCGGAGCCCGCCCAGGCCACGCCGCCGCCCGGCGGCGGCGGCGGCGCCGCCGCCGCCGCCGTGCCGCCGTCCACGCCGCCGAGTCGCCGCCGCTGCTCGCCGCTGTCGCCCGCGGAGGCGCCGGCGGCGGGTGGACGGTCGGCGGCCTCTGCGAGCGCGCCAGGCGCGGGGGCGACGGCTCGCGCGGCCGCGGAGGCCGAGGACGCGCTCAACGCGACCGAGGCGGCGGCGCCTCCCGCGCCGCGCGACAACGCGGGCGCGGCGCCCTTGGCATCGCCGAGGGCGGCGCCGAGGGAGGACGTGTCCGTCGAGGAGCGGCGGGCCGCGGCGTTGCTGGCGGGGCTCCTGGAGGGCTAGCGGCTAGGGCCGTGCGGGGGCAAAAGGGGCGTATGTGTTGTTCGATGGTCCTCAAGACGCGAGTTACCTCAATGTATGTGTGATTGTGTGATTGGGCGTGTGCGTGTGCGTGTGCGTGTGTGTGTGTGTGTGTTGTGTGTGTGGACGTGTGGACGTGTGGACGTGTGGACGTGTGGACGTGTGGACGTGTGCGTGTGTGCGTGCGTGCGTGCGTGCGTGCGTGCGTGCGTGCGTGTGTGTTTTTGTCTGTGTGTGCGTTTGTGGGTGTGCGTGTGTCCGTGTGTGCTTGTGTGTGTGTGCTTGTGTAGTGTTGTGCTGTGTTGTGCCGTGTTGTGATTTTTTTTTTGTGCGTGTGTGTGTGTGTGTGTGTGTGTGTGTGTGTGTCACGTCGTCCAGTTCCGTCCACAGCACGCGGCCTCTGGCGGCCCTCACCACGCTGCCCGTGCCGCGCGCAAGGGCTCCAGTGGGCCCGCGCACGCCGGCGTCAGCACGCGTCCTCTGAGGAACACCGAGCAGCCAAGGGGGCGGGCGGCGGGCACCGCTCGCACGCACACGCCGGGCACGCCTCGTCGAGAAGGCATGGGCGACCGGAGCTTCGTTTTCAATGCATGCAGCGTTAATAGGGGAACGAAAAGTGACATAAGCATAATTCCTCCTCCTCGTCGTCCTCCTCCTCCTCCTCCTCCTCCTCCTCCTCCTCCTCCTCCTCCTCTTATTCCCCCTATTATCACTACATGCATTGAAAAGAAGCTCCGATCGCCCATGTCTTCTTGAAGATTCCTCCTGAAGAGGGGAATGCCCAGCTTAACTAGGGGAACGAAAGGTGGCATAAGCATAAGAACTCGGTGGTCCGCGCGGGTTTCTCGGATCGGCGCCGGACCCCCCTCCCTGGCGCGCGGGGCGCGCCAGGGGCGGCGCCAGAGGCGCCGCCGGGGGGCCCAGCGCCGATCCGAGAAATCCGCGCGGACCTCCGAGTTTTTATGTGTATGTCACTTTTCGTTCCCCTAGTTAAGCTGGGCACGCCCCTCTTCAGGAGGAATCTTCAAGACCAGAAGATCAACGATCTGGGGACGAGTTGCCGTGCTCTCTGGGCAATTTCTGCGCAAGTTGTGCCTATGTCTTATGGTTCTTCCCAAGCTCGCCCGTCGGAGGACATGCCCGACCTGAACGCAGTGCCCCCCTCTCTCAGAGTGTGAATTACCTACCCCGCTTTCGCTTCCAGGCAAAACCAAGCCATACCACGCGCCTCCTCGTCAAGCGGCCTGACCACTACAGGCTGCCATTTGGCATCGTTTGGTATCTCTTGGAAGCGAGGGTGGTCAAAAGCGAGGTAGGTTTGTTTTCCCCCTACTCTCCCTGAGATCGGCGGCGAAGTTCGAGAGGGGGGGGAGGTTGGGGACACTCGAGGTTCGAGGTTGTCGGGCATGTTCGTCGGCCCTCGGCGGTTCTCCAGCAGCCCCGAGAGGCCTGCCGGCAGGCTGCGCGTCGCCGAGGGCGTTCTCGGGGGGGTGCTCGGATCGTCCCGAGCGGCTGCTGGAAGCTCGGGCTGTGATCCAAAGGCCACTTTCGGCGGCGCGCCCGAGGGGGGAAGTGAGAAGGAGAAGGCCTTCTCAGAAGGTTCTGCAGGCCTTCTGACAGGTTTTCTAATTGAGCATTCCCCGAGGACACGGAAAACTCATCGGAAGGCACGAGGGCTTCTGAGGAGTCCCGCCGCCTGGTGAGTTGGCCTGCTCCTTCTCACTTCCTCCCCTCGATCGCCGCCGCTGAGATCCTGTGGTCACAGTTTTTTTTCCAGCGGGCGGTTTTGCCCTCGTGTCTGGCCCTGGAGCCCTCACGGATCTGTCCAGTGCGAAGAGTGCCGCAGAGAGAGGGGGTCCCGGGTTCCCATCGAGTTTTTTTTTGTCAACGCTGTTGCATGCTTCTGAACAGAGAAAACAACATACACAGAAGCTGTCGACGGTCCGCGCGGATTTCTTGGAGCTGCAGTGGGCTTCACGGGCGCGCGGGGCGCGCCAGCGGCGGCGCCGGAGGCGCCGTGAGCGGGGCCCAGCGCCGCTCCAAGAACTCCGCGCTGACCGGTGAAAGTTCATTTCGGCAGCAGACCGTGGGAGCCTCGTGTACCCTCTTACCTCCGCCGTGAGCGTCGACCAGCGTCGATTCGCGTCGATCAGCGTCGATTAGCGTCGATGAGATAGCGCCGATTTAGCGTCGGCTAGCGTCGACTCGCGTCGGCTTAGCGTCGAGTGGCGCCGATTCAGCGTCGGCCAGCGTCGATGCGCAAGAGCCGACAAGAGGGTGCGGGAGGCCCCCATGGGTTGCCACCGAAGTTGCTTATTCTGCGCAGGTGTGTCTTCCCCCCGCTGGCGACACTTGCTCGGAGGCCCCCGGGCGGATGCAGTCGTCCCCTGCTGGACCCTGCGCCCCTGTTGCTCCCGCAGGCAGAGGGGCCCCGCCCCGCGGGCGCGCGAATTCGGCCCCCCGCGGGCGCGGCGGGACACGGCGGCTCGGGAAATGGCGCTGGGGGGCCTCCTGCCGCGCAGGGCGCCCGCCTCCAGAGGCCGCCCGAGTGGGGCCCCGATGGGGTCGGAGGACAGCGCCGCCTCGCCGAGGCAGCGCCGACGCCGACGCGGCTCGGCGCGGAGCCCGTATTTGCTCCGGCCCGGCGCTGGCCGATGCATCGCTGATGCATCGGCAACGTCGGTGATGCATCGGCGATGCATCCGCGATGCATCGGCGACGTCTGCGATGCAGCGGCGACGTGGGCGTGGGGAAGCACGGGCTCCACAGCGAGCCGCATCGTCGGTGCGTCGGCGATGCGGCGCGACCCTCCGACCCCAGCTGCTCGGCCTCCATCCTAGGAGGCCTCCAGGTATCGCTGGCCCTGCCCCCGTCCCCAAGGGCTGGATTGTTCTTCCGAGATCCTAATCCTGGTCAGAACGCACCCGGGGAGAGGTCTGGGGAGCACGACGGAGGAGGAGGAGGAGGAGGAGGAGGAGGAGGAGGAGGAGGGTGGGGAGGACGAGGTCCATGTGGATGACAGAGAAGTAGATGTGGAGGAGGAGGAGGAGGAGGAGGAGGAGGAGGAGGAGGAGGAGGAGGAGGAGGAGGAGGATGGAGTGTGGATGACGGAGGGAAGCAAAAGAGGCGGAGGAGGAGGAGGAGGAAGTGGAGGCACGTAGACAGAAGGAGGGTAGGATGGGTGGACGAGCGGCGGAGACGTGAGGAGGATGAGGATGGTGAGGACGGAGGAAGAGGAAGACGACGTGGAGGACACAAGAGCGCACCCTGGGAACACAGCAGGCACAGCGAATGAGAAGTGGGCTGGCCAGCAGGCCCCCCCACGGAGGACTGTCGATCTCCGGGTGTCCCCAGGAGAGTCGCAGAACGTTGGGCACCTCGGGGACTTAGCGCGCCAATGGGCGGGGGCTCAAGGAAGCCAGCGCTGTCGCAATATGTTGATTGTGGTGTGGCATGCTAGGTTTACGACGCCACGGCCGGAGCTCAGAATCCAAAGTGGCTGGCCCGGGTTCGCGCTGACACGGGCTGGCGCACTCTCGCCGAAGTGAGCCTGGGGCGGCTCCGAAGGCAGAAGGCCGACAGAAGCCAGCGGAAACCCAAGGTGAGTATCGTGTAAATAGGGAAACAGTGGCACAAATGCTGCCGCAAGGGCAGCTAGATCCTGAAGGGTCTGTGACCTCATCAAGGGCCCCTCGCGGCAGCGTTAAGGTAGTTTTCTGTTTTACGAGTTCCTGATGCTTCTGCACATAGACAGGTCCTTGTCCCCTTCCGCGATACGTGCTCATCTGAATCTGTGTCGTCCATCCTCCTTCTCCCCTTGGTTATCCTCCTGATCCTCCTCTCCTCCCCCCCTCTGTCCCTCCCTCCCTGCCTCCTGCCTCCCTCACCCCCTCCTGAAGGTGGGTGGGGAAGGGCGGCAGAGAGAGTATGGGGCGGGCAGGCGAGGGGAGTGCATGGAGAGTGGGGGGGGGGCGAGGGAATAGGGTGGAGAGGAGGGGGAGGGGAGACACGAGGGAAAGGGTATGCCGGTATGCTCTGGCTCGTCCCGCGAACGTGTCTCGGGGGCTCTGACGTTGACGGTGAGGACGACTAGCGTTACGACGACGGCGTGGACGAGCAGTGCGACGATGGGTGATACGACGGCGAGGGCGACGAGCGTTCCGACGATGACGGCGATGACCGTTGTGATGACGACGGCGTCGAGTGTTATGACGACGATGGTGACGAGCGTTAAGATGACGATAGCACCGAGCGTTAGGACGACGGCGGCGATGAGAGCTACGCCGAGGGCGACGAGCGTTACGACGACGATGACGAGATTTACGAGGACGACGAGTGTTACGACGACGAATGTTATTACGACGCGGGCGACGAGCGTTACGGCGACGACGGCTTATTACGACGACGGCGATGAGCGGAGCGCTTCGCCATCGACGAGGGAACGCATCCAGAGAGGGAGGGGAGACTGAGGATGGGATGGGGGACGTCGTCGAAGGCTCGGTAGCCCTGTTGGCAGCTTCCTTGCAGGGGCTCCGCCGCGCGGCTTGCGCTGCGAATGGCGTGGCGGAGCCCTTGCGCCACGCCAGTTGCAGCGCACGCCGCGTGGTAGGGATCATCCGGCGGTGTCCACATTTCGAGTTCGGGGTCCTTCTAGGCAACAAAACGCCCGCCGCAACCTTGGCCACACCCCCTGCCATGACTCGTCCCCGAGCCATGCATCGTAACATGTTCGGTCCTCTTGTTCGGGTCGTTCTGTGGGTAAGCTCTGCACTTGGAGAGGGGTGCCATTGGATGGTGCGTGAGACATGCGATGCGTGAGGCGTAGCGTGTTGGACATTGTGTAACACATGTGGAACAGCGCAAGACACGTTCAACACCCGTGCAAACCACATGTAAACCAGTGTGATCATGTATGCCAGTGTTAAACACACATAAGCTAGTATACAAAAGCACACGTATCAACCAGTGTATAACACGTGTAAGCCAGTGCATCACATACGTGAACCATTGTAAATCACCTGTTAACCATGTGTAAACCACGTGCTAAACAGTGTATCACTTCGCAAACCATTCGGCAACATGTGGCACGCTATGTGTGGAACATCTTTATCGCACGACCAGCGTTGTGTAAATCATTCGTTCGCCAGCCATGCCAAAGCCATCCTGCGAGCACGATCGGTGAATGGCGCTCAACCAGATGACACATTCTGCGTAAAGCAAGCAAGCAACGTGAATGTAGCAATGACCAGGGACCTTCCGCGCACACTCACCAGAGCCCAGCATGTGCAATGTTACAATCCATGGAGGTGGTGGTGAGTACGGCGGAGTCCCCTTTGGTCTGGGCTTGCCCATGGAGAGGGGCTCGGAGAAGCGCTACGGAACCACTATGTGAGAAACAATGCAGAGACCCTTATTTCATAATGTTGGTACATGGTGTTGCTACGTGCCGAGAGTATCCATGGGGGCCGCTGGTTCATTTTGTTGGTGAGGCGGCGCCTGATGTATGCGGCCGCGTCGCTCGAACAAATTCCTGCGGACCATGCCACGACATCGGTGGGCGCATAGGATCTGCAACTGGCAAGTTGCCATAACACGAGCAAGCAAACAATTTGCCAACGAATGGGCGCATGCGAAGTTCATTATCCCAAACGAAAGCCACAGAGACAGTCGGGAAGAACACCAGGGCAAACACGTGGCCGTGAAAGCGCAACAATAGTGGTACAGCATCCGGCTGGCTTTGGCACCATCTCCGCCCGCCGTCAGGCAATTTGATATTAGATTTACCCTTGACTGTGCAACTCAGGACCCTTAAAAACTCAATCACTAATGTGCCCCAAGGTTTTATGTTTCAACGTTTCCTCTTGCATGTGTCTACTACAGCGGTGTCGACACCTTTTTTTTACCCCCCAGTCTGGAGGAGTTATCGAGGCTCCTGGGGCCGTCGAGAAACGGCCCAGGGGACGACGCCGCGGTCCCAGAGCTCCAGGCTGGCGGGCGACCCGACGCGTCCATTGGTCGAAATTTGGGGATATGTGTGTAGGAAAGTCGCGGATGTTCCGTAGAGATCCAGTGCGCTACATGACCACATACTCAGGTATGATCATACATACATACAGACATATGTCATGCATCTATATAGCGAGAGAGAGAGAGAGACTGGCAGATGTGCCGATAGACGGATACTTGACACTTGGATGCAAACATGGATAGTTGAACACACGGGCTGGCATGTTGTGCCTGCAGTGTGCACCCGGTCTCCCCAACCCTCTTCATGTGCAGGGCCATCGAGTCTAGCGGGATGTCCGGCGAGAGCCCCGTTTGGAAACGAGCCCGCCAGTTGTCCGGGCGAAGTCTCAAGCGGGAACCCTTCGCGGAAATATGGAAACGATCCACATCCGCGAACATTTGTTGCACAACTCCCACTTTCCTATCATGCGCCTCGCGGCAGGCTCCACCGAGGGCCACACTCTGGAAGGGAGCCGCCGTCCATCCGCGCATGGCTGCCGGGACTCTCGCGGGGCCGGGCGTGTGCGTCGCCGTGCCGAAGCGGCGCGCCTCGGAGACGTTTTTGGCCCCCCGCGCGCGTGCAGCCCTTGGGCACCCCCGAGGGCCAGCGCGCGCGCGGCGCGGGGGAGACAGGCCGCACTCTGCACAGCGAGACCTGCCTCGCCCGCCCTCGCCGTCCGGCTCGCGGCGCCTCCAAGCGAGAGCCACGGCTTGAGAAGGGCATGCTGCGGGCAGTACTTATATCCATATCCAGAGCGTCGTGGACTTTTTGGGAAGAGGTGCCGCAACGCCGAGGCGCACTGGATATGCATAAAATCAAGCCTCTTAGGGGCCAGATTTTTACCTAACAGCGAAGACTGATAGGTTTCTAGTGGTGTCAAAAGAGAGCATCTGATGACTCAGAAGGGAGGTCTGGGCGGCATCCGGACAGCGAGGGCCGGGCTCAGGGCCGGGCTCGTTTTAAGCAAACAGTCACACACTTCGTGCTCTTCGACCTCCCAGAACTCCATTCCCGGGCCACATTTTGGATGCCCGGAGCCAACTGTAGGCCACTTCGTGCTCTTCGAGTTCCCAGAACTCCATTCCCCGGCCACATTTTGAATACCCGGAGCCAATTGTAGGCCACTTCGTGCTCTTCGAGTTCCCAAAACTCCATTCCCGGGCGACATTCTGAATGCCCGGAGCCAACTGTAGGCTACTTCGTGGTCTTCGAGTTCCCAGAATTCCATTCCTGGGTGACATTTTGAATGCCGGAGCCAACTGTAGGCCACTTCGTGCTCTTCGAGTTCCCAAAACTCCATTCCTGGGCATGATTTTGAATGCCCAGAGCCAACTGTAGGCCACTTCGTGGTCTTCGAGTTCCCAGAAATTCATTCCTGGGCATGATTTTGAATGCCCGGAGCCAACTGCAGGCCACTTCGTGTTCTTCGAGTTCCCAGAAATCCATTCCCGGGCCACATTTTGAATGCTGAGGCAGGCTGAGGCTGAGGCTGAGGCAGGCTGAGGCTGAGGCAGGCTGAGGCTGAGGCCGAGGCTGAAGGCAGACTGAGGCTCAGGCTGAAGCAGGCTGAGGCTGAGGCTGAGGCTGAGGCAGAGAGGAGGCTGGCTGAGGCTGAGGCTCAGGCTGATGCAGGCTGAGGCTGAGGCAGGCTGAGGCTGAGGCCGAGGCTGAAGGCAGACTGAGGCTGAGGCTGAAGCAGGCTGAGGCTGAGGCTGAGGCAGGCTGAGGCTGAGGCTGAGGCAGGCTGATGAGGCTGAGGCTGAGGCTGAGGCTGATGCAGGCTGAGGCTGAGGCAGGCTGAGGCTGAGGCCGAGGCTGAAGGCAGACTGAGGCTGAGGCTGAAGCAGGCTGAGGCTGAGGCTGAGGCAGGCTGAGGCTGAGGCTGAGGCAGGCTGATGCTGAGGCAGGCTGAGGCTGAGGCTGAGGCTGATGCAGGCTGAGGCTGAGGCAGGCTGAGGCTGAGGCCGAGGCTGAAGGCAGACTGAGGCTGAGGCTGAAGCAGGCTGAGGCTGAGGCTGAGGCAGGCTGAGGCTGAGGCTGAGGCAGGCTGATGCTGAGGCAGGCTGAGGCTGAGGCTGAGGCAGGCTGAGGCTGAGGCAGGCTGAGGCTGAGGCTGAAGGCAGACTGAGGCTGAGGCTGAGGCAGGCTGAGGCTGAGGCTGAGGCAGGCTGAGGCTGAGGCTGAGGCTGAGGCTGCAGGCTGAGGCTGCAGGCTGAGGCTGAGGCTGAGGCTGCAGGCTGACGCTGAGGCAGGCTGAGGCTGAGGCCGAGGCTGAAGGACTGGCTGAGGCAGGCTGAGGCTGAGGCTGAGGCAGGCTGAGCTGAGGCTGAGGCAGGCTGAGGCTGACTGCGACTGCCGTTGCCACTGCGACTTTCATCGCGAATGCGACTGCGACTGCGAGAACAGCAGAATTCTACAACTGGATTCTCATGTGAATCTTAAGGGGAATGCTTCCAGATATGCTCCTACACATCGCTGTTAGGTTGCTTTGCCGGGATAATTATCCATATCCAGTGCGTCTACGGTTTCTGGGGAAGAGAGCCCAAGAATGCAAGACGCACTGGATGTGGATATGACTATTGCCCGCACATGCCGGGGGAGGCTTCTTCACGAGGGAGAGAGGGTCTGAGGAGGCGGTGGAGGAGAACGACGGGGGGAGGAGGAAGGGGGGAGGGCTTCTTAGGGAGGCAGGGGGATCTGAGGAGCAGACGGAGGAGAGAGGAGGGGGAAGGAGGAGGTTCGGTCAAGCACACGCACACACACACACACCCATGCTGTCTCAGAACTGGTTCGGCTCTCACCAAGTCCCCATGTACTGGCCTGAATCCCTCGATGTTAGACGTGTTGCGCATCCCTGAGCATTTCGGTCACTCCCTCCATGTTGCCGCTTTAGTGGAGCCCGGTTTCCCCGCGGTCTTTTGTTCCAAGTGCGGTGCGTTCGGGACTCAGAAGGCCATCACATTTCGGTCGAGGCGTGAGTCTGATAGCTGTAAGGAGAAGCGTGCCCTCCCGAGTGGCAGGGTGCCCAGTACACCGTGTCGAAGTCATTCCCCCCAGTTGGTGAGAGGGACCACCCTGGGGGAGTTCGCCACTCACTTACAGCCTTGGCCAGTGCCCACGAGTCAGCTAGGTATGGCTGGCTTTACCCGCAGTGCCCACACGGGGGGAGGATGGAGGGGAGGCGGTAATAAACGCGGGAGACGGAGTAGGAGGAGGAGAATATGCAGTTGGGTTGAGGAGGAGGAGGAGGAGGAGGAAGAGGAGGAGGGCAGGGCGCCTCCTGTCGACCTCCTCCATCCGGGGCGGGGATGTGCGCGCGACCACCGCCTGGAGGATTCCTCCCTTCGGGGACCTCAGCAGGCGGCGCATGTGGACCTATTCGGGTCCCCGGGGTCCACAATCTATATATATATATATATACACGTGTATATATGGTCGACCCAACTTCGAGGGCGAGAGGGTCAGAATGAAGATCATGAAAGGGAGAAGGGAAAAGAGTATCATGAGAGGGAGCAGAAGGAAGATGGGCAGGAGGAAGAGAAGGATGGTCGTTGGGGGGTGCTGGGGGGGGGGGAGCTATATATATATATATATATATATATATACACACATAGCCACCGCTCGCTGGGGCACCAGGACATCGGCTCCCGGGCGCTGGATGGGGATAGGCCCCCTCCTCGCACACCAGGTTCCCCAGGCCTTCCGCGGTCGCGGCCCGCCTGCGGTGGGCGACGACGACGGCGCCCGCCCTGATGATGCGCCCACGGCTGCCAAGTCTCGTCGCCCGCAGGCGTCGGCGTCGGCATCGACGACGACGCCGACGCCGACGACGGCGACCACGGCATCGACGAGGAGGAAGGATCGTCTCGCAGTCGTCGCTGCTACCCGCCGTGGCCAGTGAAGGCCACGACACCGCCCTGCGACGCCTCCGCGCGCGGGCAGAGACCTCCTCCGTGCCCTCCCGCGGCCGCTTCGGCGCAGAAGCCAGAGGCAGAGCCGGTAAGGGGGCCTGTCCCGAGACCCGGCCCTGGCCGCAAGACTCCCAAACGCAAACGCGAGAGCTTCGCGCGAGCACCAGCTGCCCGCGCCCGTCCCTCTCAACATGGACAAGTACCGCAAGGTCGACAAGCCTAAGAGCGCCGAGGTCGCTGCCGAGGACGAGATCCGCGTCACGGCGGCGGGCAGCGTCTCTGCATACGTATCCCGCGCAGCCAAGGTTCGGCGACCACAAGGGGTGTGCTTGCAGTCGGACTGAGGCATAAGATGGAGGTCGGTTCGTGGTTCGGGGAGTGTGCCTCATGTTCTTCGTGTTTTGTGGGTGCTCTTGTGCATCCTCGGGGAGGGTACCCTCGAATGCTCTTCATCTTCGCCAGAGGAGGGCCTCATGATCTTGAAGGACGTTATTACACCAGAGAAAAAACCCAATCAGTGGATGGATTCAAATGTGATCGATAAAGAGTTGACAACGAGGTCGACCGGGAGACCGGGATCCCAGGAACCCAGAACCCACCGAAGTCGGTCCGGAACCAATGACCAAGAACCCGGGAACCCAGAACCGGGAACCCGGGAACCCAGAACCGGCCGCCAACATCGGCGGGAGATTATATCGCCAAATCGTTCAATTTCCGCTATAGGACCCCCCCAGTGCGAGCACTCACTGGAGAATGCTCTTGAAGGATGTTCTTCTGTCCCAGGTCCGACTCTGCGCAGTGGGGTGGCCTGCGATCTGCGTCGTCGGGTCTTGGGTCGCGACCAGGGGGGGAGGGAGGAGGAGAAGGCATGCTCAGAAGGCGGCGGGGCTTCTCAGACGCCCGCGCGCGTTCCGGGAAGTTTTCTGTCTCCTTTGGGAAGAAGGCTTGTCATCAGGAGGAGAACACAGTTCATCCGCGATATCTCAGAAAAAACATGGGAAGTGGTGGGGAAGCCGAAGCCCCCGAAAATATGTGAAGGTATGGGGAATCTTGGGATTTGTGTATATTTAGTTGTGTGTCCCTGGACCCCTTCATAGACAACTTCTCAGAAGGCCGGGGAACCTCCGAGCCTTCCGAGAAGGCCCGCCCGCCCGCTCTCGCTTCCCTCCCTGGCACGCCGCCGATCATGGCGGGCACCACGTTGCCTTCGGCCCTCGTCGGGCCTCCTCGGGGCGCGGCGGAGAAGTCTGTCGAGGACCCAGACCACACTTGGAGGGTTTCTCCGAAGGGCTTAGGCGACCCGTCCTCCTCCTTCTCCTCCTCCACCTCCTCCTCTTCCTTCTCTTCCATCTTCTCCCCCTCCTCCTTCTCCTCCTCCTCCCCCTCCTCCTCCTCCTCTTCCTCCTCCTCCTCCTCCTCCTCCTCCTCCTCCTCCTCGGGTCGCCTACGGCCCCCGGGGAAGCCGTGCAACCACACCCTTCGGAGTCGCCGAAAAGGTTTTCAACGAGCTGGAGAAGCCCAAGGTGGTCATCAGAGCCACGGGCGGGGCGCTGACCAAGGCGGTCACCCTCACGGAGGTCATCAAGCGGCGCTTCAAGGGCCTCCACCAGATCACGAACCTCGGCAGCGTGGAAATTGAGGATGAGTACGAGCCCCTCGAGGAGGGGCTCGAAATGGTTACTGACACGCGCACCGTCGCGGTGCTCGACATCACCCTCTCGAAGGAGGCGCTGGACAGTTCCGACAAGGGCTACCAGCCGCCCATCGACGAGGCACTGGTTACGGATTTCGACCCCGAGCAGGTGGGCAAGGGGCGCGGCCGCGGCAAGGGACGTGGCAAGGGCAAGGTCGGCGGCGAGCGAGGGAGGGAAATGAGAAGAAGGCCTTCTCAGAAGGCGGCGGGGCTTCTCAGAAGCCCTCGCGCCTTCAGATAAGTTTGCCGTGTCTTCGGGGGCTTCCGAGCCTTCTGAGAAGGTCCGCCCCTTCTCACTTCCCCCTCGCGCTCGCCGCTAACAAGGGCAAGGGAGAAAAGGGCAAGGGGAAGGGCAAGGGCAAGGAAGAGAGTGCCTCCAAGGGGAAGGGCAAGGGGAAGGGGAAAGACAAGGGCAAAGACGCGTCCGAGCCGAAGGGCAAGGGCAAGGGTAAGGACAAGGGCAAGGACTCGTCCGAGCCGAAGGGCAAGGGTAAGGACAAGGGTAAGGCGAAGGGTAAGGACGAGTCATCGAAAGGCAAAGGCAAGTCCACATACGAGTCGGGCAAGTCGAAGTCGAAGGGCTACGGCAAGTACGACTCCTACGGCTACGACAGCTACGATTCGTACGGCTATGGGAAGAGCAGCAGCAAGGGAAAGAAGGGGAAGAGCTCCGGCTACGGCGGCTACGACTCCTACAACAGCTGGGGGGGATCCAGCTATGGCGGAGGATACGGCGGCGGAGGCCGTGAATGGCAGGGGAGGACGTATCTGCCGCCACGGGGATTTCAGAGGCCGCACGTCGGTCCAGATTTTGGGGGGCGTCGGATCCTGGCCAGGTGGGCAGCGGGCATCCGACAAGATCTGGGCTCGGACGTGGCCTGTTGGAAGCTCGGCGGTGGCAGACACCGTCCCTCCCTTGAGGCTACGGCTCGAAGGGCAGCGGCTACGGCTCGAAGGTCGGATGACGCCAATCGTACGGCTCGACGCCTGTCCTGGCTGAGCGGCCAGGCCCCCCTGGAGCCCAGTGCCCAGGCAGAAGACCTCCCAGCCCCAGCCAGGACGGCGTAGGTCTAGGCCTCCCAGATGATGTCGGAGTGGATGCGCCGGAGGGTCGCGCCACAGCGTAGATGGAGCCCGATTTTCTCAGCACAACGTCGCCCGATGCATTGGCCATGCGGTGCAGCCCCCCAGCCCCATCGACTCGGACCTCATGTGGTAACGAAAAAACAGCACACCCGTATCCATATGGGGCCAGAGGGATGAGTACTGGCTATGGGTATGGGTGCGGGTTGTCAGACCTCGGGGGAGGCTCGCGTGCGAGCGGGGATCCCCATGCGACAGCACGCATCCATAGCCGCCTCCGTTCCCCCTTATGGGGATGGGTGCGTGTCGTTCGTTCGTCAGCGCAGCCCTGCGTAGAAGAAAAAGTTTTGGCGTGTTCCCGTGTTCCCTGTTCCGGGTTCCTTGTTCCGGGTTCCCGGGTTCCTGCTATGGTTCCGGGCCGATTTCGGTGGGTTCCGGGTTCCCGGGTTCCCGGTCGATTTCCATATCGATCACAAACCATCCATTGACCCAGGTTTTTCTTTTCTCTGGTGTACTTTCGGTTTCTCTTGTGGGGATGGGTGCGTGTGGTGCGTCCTTCAGCGCAGTCCTCCGACCCAACCTGCTCGGACCCCCATGCAGGAGGCCCTGGGCGGGAGAGAGACCACCGGCCCTGCCCCAGGGTTATGATGTTCCAACCTGCTTTAGCCTTGATCGCCAGAAAGAATTTCGAGCGCACTCCAAAACGCCAGGGTTTTCACGTGTCGGGCCCTGGGAGACATTGTTTCGACACTGTCTCGACACTCTTTCGACACTCTTTCGACACTTTTCTGGGTGCTCGACATTTTTCTGGGATGTGGTCCTTAAGTGCGATGGGAGCAACATGACCCCTGGGACGCGGAGCGGTGGCGGATGGTGTCATGGGTCTCTCGGGTTGACCCAGAAGGGGGTCCAGCGACAAGGGGGCGGTGAGATTTGGTGCAATAGATTTGTGGGGTTGCAATACATTTGGGGGCGTGCATTACATACCGGGGCGCAAAGGTATTGCTGGATTTTCACGTGCAATACATCAGTTGCAATACAGTGCAAGACAATTCTTCGGCGCAGTGCATTTGCAATACAATTGTCCCAAATCTATTGCACCACCCCCTTGCAGCTGGACCCCCTTTTGGGTCACCCAAAGTCTCGGGCGCTGTCATCGCTGCTCCGGGCGGGGGCCATCGCAGACCTCGGGAAGAGACGCGTGGACCATGACCAAGATGCCGCGTGTCGGCGACGAGCAAGGTGAGGAAATGATAGGAAGAAGGCCCTCTCAGGAGGCGGCGGGGCTTCTCAGGAGCCCTCGCGCCCTCTGACAGGTTTTTATGTATTCGAGGAAGGCTTAGAAAGCGTTTCAGAAGGCCAGGGAACTTCCGAACCTTCTGAGAAGGCCTTCTCCTTCTCACTTCCCCCCTCGCTCACCGCCGATGACGATCTTGGTCATGGTCCATGTCGGCCATCGCCAATTCGCGATGATGGTCCACGAAGCCACGAAGTGATGCTGACCAAGATACCAAGATCGAGAGTGACCAAGATCGAAACGACGTTTCCGCACTCAGCAGTGGTCGTGTTCCCAGTTTTTGTTCCCCTCCATATGGCTCCATTCGCCAGAGCCAGTTCTCTGCGCCGCGGGCCGCTGCTTCACCAGGGCGCGAGCCCAACGGTGTGTTGGCAGCGTCGTGCACCGTTTTCGGCTTGATTTCGTGTGGCAGCAAGGGCAGGATGAAGCCATGACGTCGGAAACTGACAGCACAACGAAGACGGAAACACGGTTCAGCACGCGCACTCGCGTCCACGGTCCGAAGTGGTTCTTGGACGCCATGCTCCGGCAACAGGGCCTCGGACTGGATGTTTGGCCAGGCGCCTAGCATCGCTCGGACGTGTGCATTTTTTGTTCGGCGAGGGCCATCGAGGAGCATCCTTGATCATTTGGCGAAAAAAACCACGCACGAAACCGAAACAAGCACAAGGAATGGACGTCCACGCGATGGCGAGGGCGGCACGCTCTGCGCTTTGCGTCCTTGGCGGCAGGGCTGTTCTTCTCCAGGGGGGCGGCCTTGCGGGCGCGAGCGTGACAGTGCTTTTCGCACCGCAAAGCACGAAGCGCGAACCAGCCAGACATCCGACGCCATGCTGCTTTCGTTTCCTGGGCCCCTTGATGTCCGAGAGAGCGTGATCCACCGCCGCTTTGCTGTGGAAAATTCCTTCCCCTCTTCCTCCGGGGATCCCCCCCCCCTCCGAAAATCCCTCCCCCCCCTGCTGGACCCCCCTCCCTTTCCCCTGGCCCCCCCCCCCCCCCGTCCAGAAAACCGGGGGGGTCATTACTGGGTCGAACCCCCCCCCTCGAAAGCCGGGGAAGGTCATTACCGATTCGAACCCCTGGGCCCCACCCTCCCAGAAAACTAGAGAGGGGTCACTACCGGTTCGAACCCCCCCCCTCCGGAAAACTGGGGGGGGTCACTACCGGTTCGAACCCCCCCCCCGCCCCTCGAAAACCAGAGGGGTCACTACTGTTTCGACCCCCCCCCCCCC